ATGTAAACTTATAAAATTTGTTTTTTTTTTTTTTTTTTTTTTTTTTTTTTTTTCACATTGATTTCTGAAAAATCTTAACCTTGTACTGAGTATATTTCAAAACTAAAGAACTATTTTGTCATTTTAAGGTTCACTGACCTTTTTAATGATTTTGTCTGCTTTTTTGTTGGAAAGTATTTGAATATTGCCGTTTAAGCATGAAGGCGCCTCCCCAAGTTTAGCTGATCATCTGTGGGGGGTTTGTTTTCAGAGATGGGTTCAGTCATTTGTGACCGTTAAGGAGCATCTTGATTTGGTTAGGTTTAGGAGAACTGTTAGATTTGCAGCCCATAAGTGTTGAACAAGAATTAGAGAAGCATATTTTCAGCCATGTTCCCTGAAGGCTACTGCCATTTTTCCGATTCAACTGGATCATTTTCTTTTTTTTTTTTTTTTGAGCAAGAGCTCACTTTGTTGTCCAGGCTAGAGTGAGGCCAATGGCATCGAGCCTTAGGCTCACAGCCAACCTCAAACTCCTCGCGGCTCAAGTGCTCCTCCTGCCCCTCAGGCCCCCGAGTAGCTCAGACTCAGGGCACCGATGCCCCCGGCTAATGTTTTTCTTATATATATTAGCTTGCCCAATTAATTTCTTTTCTATGTATAGTAGAGATGGGGGTCTTGCTTTCTTTGTTGCTCAGGCTGCTTTGAACTCCTTGACCTCGGAGCATCTGCCCACCTTGGCCTCCCGATTGCTAGTATTACAGTTTGTTTGATCCATCTCGGGCTGCCCGCTTCCCACTGGATCATTCTTAGCATTCAACAATGATTTTAAAATGTTCACTACTGAGAGCTCAATTTCATCTGCAGTTCGTTTGATTTCCTTGTGATGTCTCACTAGGTGAGGCTGAAATGCTAAACTTTGAGTGTTGATGTCATGATTTTAAAGTCCGTGCACCTAGTCCACAGCAGGGGAACCTTTTCATGTTGGAAGGCCACACGAATTTAGCTAAAATCAAATAAGGCTGCATTCAGAAACCTCAATTAGATGTACTTAAAAATGTACATTATTTTATAAAAATCTAACTACTATGTACTTAGTAATTTCAAAAAATAAAAACTATTTGTCAATTTTAAAGTTCACTGACTTTTTAATGATTTTGTCTGCTTTTTGTTGGAAAGTATTTGAATATTTGGTTGAAGCATGAAGGTCCCCAGTTTTAGCTGATCCTCTAGATGGGTATCAGTCATTTGTGACCTTAAGGACATCTTGATTTGGGTTAGGTAGGAGAATGTAGATTTGAGAGTTTGCACGGCAATAAGCTCGGCGTTGCAACAAAGAATTAGAGAAGCAACTTCTTTCCAAACAACGGCCGGCACACTCCCCTCTCCCTCCCAGAAGGCTGACTCGCATTTTTCCACATTTCAACTGGATCATTCTTTTTTTTTTTTTTTGAGACAAGAGTCTCACTTTGTTGTCCCAGGAGCTAG